AAAAAACTTTATACTTAACTTGACCGATAATTATAATAATAAAGTTTTAGAAAGTGGTATAGAAGGAAAAAAAAAATAAAAGGGTTGATGGTTTTGTTGTTGTTGTTCGTTGTTGTTTGTTGTTGTTATTTCATTTATAATATTGAATAACGTATATTTATTGCTTTGGTTATTCACCTGAAATATAAAGAAAAGAAAATTTCTTGTCAGTGTGAAAATGTTTTAAAAAGAAAATAATAATAATTTTGACAATAAAAATAATAATAATAAAATTTCGTAGTTAAATTTTCACCCTTTTTTTTGGTAAAAGTTTGAAATGTAAAAAAAAAAAAAAACTTTACGGTTTTTTTTAAAAAGAAATGTAAAACGCTCATGTAATTTTTTTCTTTTTTTTTCTTATTTATTTCTTCTATCTCTCTCACTCTCTCTCTCTCTTACTCTCTCTGTGGAACGTGTGAAAAAATCAACGTATCAACGTGCGAACGCCGATGGATGGAAAAAAAATTTCCGGAAACGTGTATTATTTGTTTTAATTAAATTGGAAACATTACAATGTGCGATTTGACAATTACAATCATTGAATATATAATTATTTGTCGGTTGAATTGCCGGCATTTGTAATTCCCCTGGGGACTGTTAATTAAAACAATCACCATCATCATCACCGACGGGCACGGGGGCGACGTGGCTTGCGCCGCGACGCTTTACGACAATGGTTTACACGGGGGTACAATCGGTGCGATGGGTATTGATTCGACAGCCGCTAATTCCAACGCGGGATCTGCCACCGGGATAGGCTGGTGGACCATGATGAACGGGAGCCTATACGAAGAAAGTCCTCCTCCTGCTCCGACAGTGAGCACGCCTGTTTCCTCTCCAAACTCCGTTAGCATAACTGTCGTACCGGTAACGGCTACGACGTCCTCCACATCACCCAGTTCCTCATCGGTTGCTAGTAATAACACGGGGCCCTTGCACATACCTGCCAAACGACTCACAACTTCCTATGATTCCGTTGATCCCGCGAGCGGAGTGATACGTCACCCCGGATCCCAACCTTGGAATTATTCTCCAGCAGAAAATTATTCCGCCACAGCATTCGAACCTCCTACCGGTCTAAGTCATCATCAATACTCAACCGCATCAAATTATTATAACCTACCGTCTGATCCCACTTCGAGGGACAGTAGGAAATTAAATTTCTGGCCTCCCGCGGTCACAGCTTCTCCTACATCCGATTTTAAATATAACTCATCCGTTTCTGCAACGAATCCTACTGATCCGAGCTCCGTTTCCGCGTGTCATCAAAGTTTCACGGCACAAACCCCTTGGTGTAATGCATATTCCTCAGCCAGTCGACATCACGTCGATCATCATGGACACCAGAGCGTACCCTACATACAAGAAGAATCTAGGAGAGCAGCGGCTGCTGCTGCAATGGTCGCCGATGGTTTTCCACACGACAGTTACAGCAGTCTGAGAAGTTATGGAGCTTCTGATCCGGTTCCGACAACGCCATATCCTCCACCTGGTAAGTTTTTTTTTTTTTTTTTTTTTTTTTTTTTACGTTAATAAAATTTAACCTAAAAAAACTACAAATTTTTTTTTCTTTTAATGAAAACTTTCTTCCACGTTTTTTTTTTATAATACGGAAAAACTTTCTTATATTATTTCCACCTGGAGAAAAAAAATTTAATATAATAATAATAAATAAACGTTTTAGTTTAGCAAACTACATTTCATTCATAAAAAAAAAAAAAGGTAAAAAAAATTCTTTAAAAAATGATAATTTTATCTTCAAGGTTAACCATATTTCTCTCTTTAAAAAAAAAAACTCATAATAACCCACACTACTACTACTACTATAAAACCTTATAAAGTACAAAACGGCACACATACAAACAGAATTACAACTTTAAAAAAAAAAAAAAAAAGAATACCGGAGAAAAAAAAAAAATTTTAACCGTTAAACTACATCATTATCAAAAAAAAAAAAATTGTATTTTCTATCTGGAATTGATTAAACACTAAAATTTGATACTTTTTCATTCCAACATAACGAATGCTAACATTATTATTATTATTACTTCTTTTTTTTTATAGCGCAACTGGTTTTTAACGAGGATTTATTTATTAACAAAGCAAAAAAAAAAAATTTTCTTTCTCTTTCTTTCTTTCTTTCTTTTTTTCTTTCCCTTTAAATATGGAACGCGATGAGATGGTTAAATCCGTTTTTTTTTTTTTTTTAAATGTAGTGACCGGTCAATCACATAATCATCAATTTTTTAAAGTTTGATAAAGGTCACTTTAATTTATTTTAAAAAACTTTATTATGCAACATTAAATTAAAACAAAATGTTTCTATCCGTTTTTTTCTTTTTTTTTCTGATAATGATTTAGATTTGAATTCATACCTGGAAAAAAAAAAAAACCGGTTGTTTTTTTTTTGTATGTGACCATTAACAGTCGGAGTGTGTGTTGTTTGTTGTTGTTGTTGTTGTTGTTTTTGAATGAACAAACTTTCTTTGACTCGGATAAAAATTTAATAGCCTCCTCATATTTTATAAATTAATTTTTTTTTTTTTAAGGTTTAATGTAGAAAAAGTTTATATAGGGAAGAAAAGAAATTGGAAAAAAAATTTTCTATCTCTCTCTCTTCCTCTCTCTCTCTCTCTTTTCTTAATCTATTTGATGAGGTTTAATATCACATTTTGGTAAAATCACATTGGCAATCAAGAAAGGAAGAAAGAATCCCCGTACATTTAAACAAAGGAAATGAAAATGTTAGTGACCGAATAATAAGAATAAGAAAAAGTTAAAGAGAGAGAGAGAGAGATGGAATGGAATAAGAATGAAACGAGGGGATGTAAAACGAATGAAAAAAAAAAAAAGAATGAGAAATGCAATCAGTGGAATGGCATGTGTAAAAACAAACACGAGATATTCGACGCACACACACCGACACGAGTACAAATTTATACATTTATATACATATACACAAAATCACCAAATCTCATAAAAGTAAATAAAGTGCAGGGAGGGGGCAGGAAGGGGGGGAAAAGTTTTGTATAAAAAAAAAACGGTTTCCTATACAACGATGATGATGACTTGGGGGGGAAAAGAAAAACTTTAAAAAGAAATAAGACGGGGGAAAAAAGATTGAAATGAGAAAAATAAGAAGAAAATTGTTCGGGGAGGAAGGGGGAAGGAAATGAGGGGTAAGTTGGAGGGGGGGAGAGGGGGGGTAAAGAAAAAATTCACATGTGCGTCTGCGACTTTTTTTTTTTTTTTAATTTGCAAAAGGAAAGTAAAAAAAGAAAAAAAAAACAAAGGAATGAAAACGGAAAATTTACTCCTGGACAATAACAAAAATTCCAACGACAACAACAACTGACCATTTCCCATTCATGTTTAGCTTATGAAAGAAAAATTTCGAAAAAAAAATTCCACGAAAAAAAAAAGAAAGAAAACTGAAATCGATGTTTAGCTTACGGATATAATAAATATTTATTCACTTTCTGAAAAACTCGAGAGTTGTTAATGAGTTGTTATTATTGTTATTATTATTATTATTTTATAATAAATTTCAACGTGGAAAATTTTTGAAAAGAGATCAAAAAAAAAAAGTATGCGGATGAATTCTATGAATTTTTTTTTTTTGCAATTTAAAACGGTAAAAAAAAAAACGAGAAATTTTTTTTTTTGTCTTGTCAAACGTCTTGACACTCGACAATGATTCAAAAAAATTTATTATGTATTATATGTTTTGTTGATGTTATCCAAGTATGGACCACAGAATCCAAAGTTGTCTCCGCGACTTTGAAAAAAAAAATTTTTAAATTACGTTTGCCGACTTTGTAAAAAAAAAAAAAGTACAAACAAGTAACGCGCGCGTGGTGTGAAGGTACAATGTTAAAACGCTTGCGTATTTTTTATACCCACGACAAACATCAAATTTTTTTTTTTTGTTTAATTACGTCATTTATTTATTACGTTTTTCAGGTACGGAGTGGGAGGGGAGGGAAGAGGGGGGGGGGGGGGACGGAAGATGGAACAAACAAACAAACGAAACATTTTTTCAAGTTTAAATAAATGATGCGGAGGACGTTAGGATGTGAATTTTTTTTTTTTTTTTAACTCTTTCGATATTTTTAAATTTTTTAAAATGGACAAATGTAAAACGCATGCGCGTAACGCACTCGCACACGCACGTCCTCGCATAAAAAAACATATTTTGAAATAAATATTATCATTTCGATGCCAAGTTTTTTTTTTTTTAACTCATGAGATTCGATTTAAATTTTTTTTTTTTTTTTTTTGTTTTGGGTACGAAAAACAAAAATTTTTTAGGTATTTATTATTATTATTATTATTGTTTTTCACGACGTATTATCTATTGATTTTTGTCGTGACGTAGAATTAAATAAATAAATTTAAAAACGATTGTCGTTGTTGTTGTTCGTCACAAAATAAAAAGGTAAAAAAAAAATTGTTTTTTTTTTCTCTGTCGTCGTAATTAATTTTTTAATCTTTATTAAAAATCTTGACATTTTTTTTTTTTTATAATTATTCATTTTGCCATGCAACTGCCGTCTCATCGATAACAACGACGACGAAAAAAAGACGGATAGATACCTTAATGTTGAGAAAATCGAAAGACGGTTACCAGGTGCCTAAAAAAAGGCAATTCGATACCAAGTGACGCGAAACAAACGACGACAACAACAACTCAAAACGATTTTTTTTTTCCCCACATGTATGTGACCCAATTCGGTTGGATTCAAAATATTTATGACCGGAGCTACCGTTGACAAAAAAAAAAAAAAGGTGGGCCTGACTTTGACCGGTTGATCCAGGTAATTTTCGATTTTTTTTTTTTTTTTTTTTTTTTTATACGTGAATGTCCATGAATAATTTTTTTTTTTTGGTTTCATCAATAAATTCTTTATTTTCTTTAGTAGGATATTTTTTTTTGCAAATCTTTCCACCATTATCGAATATAAATCGCGTGGGCTCGTGTGTTAGAAAAAAAAAAAAAAATTTTTTTTTTTTTTTTTGAGTTTTTAAATTGACACGTTTCAAACATTTAACGTCGAATTTAAATTACGCTTAAAATCTCGGGGTAAATGTTCGTGCCCACGTTTGATTCCAAAAAAACATGACAACAACAACACAAAAACAAAAACAACAATTTTTCTGATTGTGTTTGTCTAGTTAACGTCGGGCGTCGAATTTAATTTTTTTTTCGTCTGGACACACACACACACACACAATAAGAATTGTGACTTTAATTTTAAACTTTTTCTCTTTTATTTTTCAATTTAAAAAACTAACAATTTTTTTTTATACAAACGAACGAACAAACGTACGACAATTTCATATATATTATACATACGATTCGTATATTATTATTATTATTATTATTATTTTTTAAAATCTTTACGAAAAAATTTTAACCGTCTAAGGGGGGTTGATTTATGTTTTCCTTTATTTTTTTTATTATTCTTTTCAACCCTTTGCTCTAGATTTCACATAATTTTATTTTTTAAAAAAACTTTCTTTTTTTTTTGTCTGTCTGTTTGTTTTGTTTGTTTGTGATTTCAGTTTGTGTTTGTAGATGGTAAAATAAACATGAATTTAATTTTTTTAACGAAAAATTATAACGAGGAAACGATGCAAGAGTAAGTTTTTTTTCAACCACGTGCGTGTTTTTTCTTTTTAGCTATGGATAAATATGCTCAATAATATTATTATTATTATTACGTAGTGACGGTTAACATTATTATTATTATTATTATTACGTAGTGACGGTTAACATTATTATTATTATTATTATTACGTAGTGACGGTTAACATTATTATTATTATTATTATTACGTAGTGACGGTTAACATTATTATTATTATTATTCTAACGCGTTATAGAAAAGCTCGGTAATGTGAAATTAGTGCAAGTTAAAAAAAAACTAATTCAGGGATTTAATTTTTTTATAATCGGTTGTTAACAAGTAAAACTATAAAAAAAAAAAATTTCTTGTTAATTTAAAAAAAAAAAAAAAACACGTTTCGGCATTTTTCCTTTTTCCTTTTGCAACGTGGGGAGGCTGTCCATCATTTTCCTTTTTTTTTATATAAAAAACTCATTCGTTGCAATTTTACTCAAAGAAATGCAACAAAATTATGTATCATAAAGTTTTTTTTTTTTAAAGTGAAAACAACGTTGCAAAATTTATTAATTAATTAATTTTTTTTTCGGTTTATCTTATTATTATTATTATTATTATTATTATTAATAAATTTATGAATTTTTTTTTACTATTAATTTTTATTATAAAAAAAAAACGAGAAAAAAAGAAAAAGGAAAAAAAAGGAAGAAAACAACTCGTTATTGTCTTTTACATATCATCATCATGTTTCCGATGAAAATTAATAATAATAATAATAATAATAATAGTAATTTACGATAGGATGAATTTGACTTTTATTTATTTCCCTTATGTATTTATGTATACATAGACAATATTCTTCGCAATAATATTGAGTTTGTATAAGTTATAGCAATGGGACAAGGTTCGCAACAAAAAGTTATTAAATGATAACAAATCACCCCGTGGGTCAAATTTAAAAGCAACTCGATATTAATTATTATTATTATTATTATTATTTGTTTTTTTTTCCTATTAAGTAAACATGCGACCAACTGAATAAAAAAAAAAAAAAAAGTAAAATGAAAAGAAAAAAAAACATTTTATCGAGATTTATTAAAAAAGTTTTCCGCCACTTTTTATATTCTCGCTTTTTATTTCTTTTTCCACTCTCTTTTTTTTTTCCCTTTTTTTCCAAAAAAAAAAAAAAAAAATCGTTGAAACTTCCCAACTTTTCCATTATTCCTCCTCCCCCTTCCTACGCCTTCCTCCTCCCCCCGTTATTTTTTCTCCTTCTTTTTAATATTTAAATTCCGTTCATAAAAAAAAAAAAAAAAAAAAATTCTTTTCGTTTTCTTGCCAAATTATAAATTTCGTTAATGAAATTTTTTTTTTTTTTTTTTTAGTTTGACGAAATAAATAAATGACGTAGTTAGTGAAATAATAATAATAATAATAAATGAATGAAATGATACCTGGGGGAGGGAGGGAGAAGGAAGGAGAAAATATGATTTGCGGCGGTTAATTAATAAATAAGGAACAACCGTTTAAAATAGTTCATATATCTACGGTTTTTTAAATGTAGGCCGATAACGGTATGACATCTCTCTCTCTCTCTCTCTCTCTATCTCTCTTTCTCTCTCTTGTGAAAGCTACCCGAACATAAATTTTATTATGCGAGCAAATAAAATTTCATGTATATCTTCTCGGATGCTTAAAAAAAAAAAAATCCGTTAGAGAATTTTTTTTTTTTTTTACACCGAACGTAATTAAATTCGTGTCATTAGAATGCTTTTAAAAAAAATTACGTAATTATATTTAAAAATCATTCGATATATTTACACGACTCCATATTATTTTTAAAATTTATTGAAATACACGTTGTGTCAGACGACGCATTCTACTCGCAAAACCCCATCTCATAATAATAATAATAATAATAATCGACGATTTAAAATTTTTTTATCCGTTAAACGTTTATAGGGAAATCAAAGCATCAATTACACCCTCCGAATGTTACAACAACAACAACAGCAGCAGATGTATATTTATATATATATATCATTGTATCATCCGTTTTAAAAATGTCCGTTTGCAAATGCACACACAAACACATTTTATGAGAATGTTCACCTTTTGGCCTTCATTACACACACACACAAATGGCGGACATTTTTTTTTTTTCAAATCAATTATTTTTTTTCGTTGGTATATTTAATCGATTCTTGTAATTATAGTAAATAAACGTTAAGTGTATGTGTGTGTGAGAGAGAGAGAGAGAAAGACTATATATATATATATATATATATATATATGTGAAGACATTTACATATACTAAAATCGATAAAAAAAAAAAAAACGATACTCGATTAATCGATAAAAGTCGTTTTTATAAATATATATATACATATATATTGAAGTTATCGATTTTTTTTTCCATACGAGAATTTATACAAAGTTGTATAATAATAATAATAATAATAATAATAATAATATATAAAAAAACCCGTCGTTATATATGTATGCACTGCATTAACTAAATGAATTTATAATTTTTTTTTTATTAAAATAAAAGCTGTCATGGACGTCAAGTTTTTTTTTTTTATAATTTTTTTTAATATTTAAAAAAAAAAAAAACATTGGAAATATTTATTAATTAATAATAATAATAATAATCATAACAACAAAATTTAAAAAAAAAAAAATTATACAAATTAAAAAAAAAAGAAATTTCAAAAGAGTCGTTTTGTAAAAAAAAAAAAAAATTAAATTAAATATTAATTACGTGCAATTAGATTTTTACTCTCGTAGTATTATTATTATTATTATTATTTATTTATTAAAATACTAAGAGAAAAAGAAAAAGTCGAGTGAATGAAATGTTGGGTGGTCTCGAATAGTATAGTAAAAAAAAAGAAAAATGCAGTTTGTAGAAAACGTATTTTTTTTTTCTTTTTCATTTTAAATTAACTCAATACGAAAAGAGAAAATGAAAATGAAGGCGTTAATTCATTAAAGTTAATAAGATACGTAAAAGACTCGTTAATTGGTAACCCTGACAAAATTACAATTTGAAAAGTTAAAAAAAAAAAAAGGAGTCGATACTTATTGAATTACCTTCGCAAACTATTAGGTTTTTACGCCTTTTTAAACTAAAAAAAAAATTTTTTTTTGTGGTTAAAACTGGAGAAAAACGTGGAAGGAAAGATTTAGTTTTATTAACAATTTAAAAAAAAAAAATTGACAAAATGTATTTTTTTTTTTCGTAAGGTTGGCACTTTGGTTTCATTTAAAAAAAAAATAAAAATAAAATATTTTTACGTTTTAATCGTAAATCATTTTAATGTCCTTGCGTTTTATATTTGTGACGTAATCTAACAACCATCAATCGCAGCATCATCATCATCATCGTGTATTACGTAATCGATAGAATATCAACGTCATAATTATTATTATTATTATTTTTTTTTTTGCGGGGTGAGAGGGACGAGGCGGAGCTTGAAAGGAGAGGGAATTTACCCTTTTTTTTTTTAGAATGAATGAAATGAGTTTGCTTACGAAAAAAAAAAAAAACATTTGCATGTTTGTTAATGATTGTTTTTAATTATTTCAAATGATTTGGGAATGTTTCCCATGTGTTTGTTTTTTTTGTACAGGTTCACTCGGAGTTGGAATGGGACTAGGAGGGACTTGCGGTACGGGTACGAATCCACTCGAATGGACGGGTCAAGTAACAGTAAGAAAAAAACGTAAACCCTATTCAAAATTTCAAACATTGGAATTAGAAAAGGAATTTTTATTTAATTCATATGTATCAAAACAAAAAAGGTGGGAACTCGCAAGGAATTTAAATCTCACAGAAAGGCAGGTAAAAATATGGTTTCAAAACAGGAGAATGAAAAATAAAAAAACTCATCAACGACAAGCTGCACAACAGCAAAACAACAATAATAATAATAACAACACTTCAGCGAGCAATGCCAACCACCACACGACGAGTCACCACCACGGTAGTCACCACGGTCACGCCGTACCCAATCATCATTCTGTTACAAATGGCGGGGTCACAATAAAGCATCATCAGTGACCATTGCCTTTTTCTGGGGTTGTTTTTGGCCATCATACCGTTCCAATATAAAATTTTATTTTCTCTCTCACTCTCCCCCTTTCACTCCCTTTCTCTCCCTCTCACTCTCCCTCTCACTCTCACTCTCAATCTCTTAAACCTTTTTCATTTTTTTTTTCCCCTCATTAAAAGCTTTAATTTTAAAACGAATTATAAACCAATTATTATTATTTTTATGCTTTTATTATTATTATTATTATTATTCCGATGGCCGGAAATGGACATTATTTTTCAAACCTCAGAAGCAATAATTATATATGTGCATATACAAACATTTTTTTTTATTTTTTTTTTTATAGTAAAAAAAAAAAAAAAATCAATAACAAGAGGTTATACAAAAAAAAAAGTAGTAGTAGAAGATGAAGAAGATAAAGAAGAAGAAGAAGAACTGGAAATTTGTACATAAGTGAGTTTTTTTTATTTTAAGTAATTTAATAAAAAAAAAAATACATAAGTAAATAAAATAAAATATGAGGCATGTAGTTAATAGCTCATTTAAAAATATTACCTTGTAGTTGTACAAAATAAATTATTATTGGTAAATAAAAATAAGAAAAAAAACAAATTTTAATAAATAAAAAATAACCCCCTTCCCCTTTTTAATAAATAAATAAATAAACTAAAAACGATAAAAAAAAAAAAAAATAAATAAATAAATTTTTTTAATATAAATAAAAAATAAAAAAAACTTTTGCCCAGTGTATATGTAAAACAATGTCTTCTCTGTATTGTTTTTAATTATAGTGAAAACAAAAAAATATATATATATAGTTTTTAAATAATAATAATAATAATAATAATATTATTAATAATTATAATGATAATAATAATTAAAAGATTTCAGTAAATTTGTTATTATTTTTTTTTAATATTATTATTATTATTTTATTTTTATTATTTTTTTTTTTAAATAATTTGTTATTAAAAATAAGTTTTTTTTTGTATTCAATCAATCAATCGATCGTTCGATTTTTTAAATTTTTAATATACAAAAAATAATGTTTGGAAAGAAGAAAAAAGGAGAAGAAGAATAAATAATAATAATTTTACACGCAAATTTTTTTTTAATAACGCGAACGTAACGTTTTATTAAAATTTAACAATATTCTCTCTCTCTCTCTTTCTCTCTCTCGAAAAACCGGAAACGATTTATTTTAATACGCAGTAAAAAAAAAAAAAAAAACAGCACAAGAAAAAAAAAATTAATTGAAGGAGAAAAAAGTGATTAATAATTAAAATAAATGTATTTTATATACACGAACGGGGGGTCAATTTATCAGGGATTAAAAAAAAAAAAAACGAACTAAACGAATAACTAGAAGGAGGAAGGTAGGAGCTTGTTAGCTAGCTAGGTAACATACATAAATAATTCATTTACCTTTTTTTTAAATGAAAATTTATTATCATAATTATTTTATTTTTTTTCTTAGTGATATCACCGTTCATTGACCTTTTATTATTATTATTATTTATTTTTTCAAAGGAAAAATTATTAATTAATTAATTAATTACAACGAACAAAAAAATTATTTATTTTTTCCACTACAAAAACGACGATTAGGGCTGAAAACGAGAAAAGAAATTAAGGAAAAGCCAGAGAGAGAGAGAGAGAGATTCGAAAATAATTATTTAAATTATTATCAATTAATAATAATAATAATAATAATAATTTAACGTTTTTTTTTTTTTTGGATAAAATAAAACAAAAAAAAAATTTTCTTTGAAACAGGTACACTACAATATTTTATATATATATTTATAAAAATAATAATAATTAAATAAATAACCCGGTGAAATCGCATACCTGGTAATTAAAATATATATATAATAGTAAAAATTATTAATATTATTATTATTAATTATTATTATTATTATTATTATTAATAATAATAATTTTTTTTTTGCGTGAAAATTATTTACCTCATTTATTACTATTATTATTATTTTTTTAAATTTTTTTTTTTTTTACGCACCTTTTAATTGTTATTCAGTATTATATGTGATTTACTTTATACACAGTATATATATATATATATATATATATATATATATATATATATTTATATATATATGGAATAGTAATAATGATAATAATAATAATAATATTTTGTGTATGTACGTGCTAAATGGCAAGATAATTTTAAAAATATATATTAAAAAATTTTTTTTTTTTTTTTTTTTTGATTCGAAATATAAATTTCTGATCGCCGACATTTTTTTTTTTTTAAATTGTTTTGTTTTTTATAATCGTTAATTTAAGTTTGAATTTTTTTTCTTTTTATGTTTTTTTATTTTCCGGGGAGGTAGGGAGGGATGAAAGGGATACAACGGGAATGTTGTTTTTTTGTTTTTAATTTTGGTTGTGTTATCATTTAACAGGTCACGATGCAAATAATATTTTTTTTAAAAGGATTAAAAAAGTATTAATTTTTTTTTTGATATTAAAATTATAAATGAAATTTATCCAGGTATGATAATAATAATAATAATAATGACGATGATTAAAATTAAAAATGAATTTTTTTTTTTTTTATTGATCTCTTTTTATAAAAAATAATAAAATTCACTCGATTATTTTGTTTGTATTGTGACCGATAATTTTTTAATTTTTTAAATTTATTACAAATAATATTATTATTACTACGGATTTTTGTATTTTTATTATTATTATTATTTTTTTTTTAATTTACATCTGATTCGTAATTATTATTGAATTTTTTTTTGTCTGTTTTGATCTCGTTTCTGTTAAATTATTTTTGTATAATATTTTTTTTTTGTTTTTTAAAAATCTTATTTTTTTTTTATTAATAATAATTATATACATAAATGGTTTCAAATGAAAAAAAAAAAAAAATTTGTAAAATGTAGAGACGATCGAAATGAAATTTATTTAAAAATTATTTTAAAGTCTTTTTTTTTCTTTTTTTTTTTTAATAATAATAATTATAATTTATTTTATACATTTCAAAAAAAAAAAATTCCTAACCGTATAAATAAAATCCTGACCCAAGGGAAATGCATTTCGCACTAACCTCCCCCCCGGTAGCAGGGAGAGTGGGGGATTCGGCCGAAACCTGTTACCCAACTAAAATTCCTGAACGTGTTTCATCGCGCTATTTTTTCTAGAGATAGAGGCGCTCGCGGGAATTTTAACTCGCATTTCAAACCCCCTCCTGAGCCAGAATTATCAGGTTTACACTCGCGGAAATGGGAATCTCATTTGAGGAAGATCCCGGTACTTCCTCTTTTTACCCTTTGAGAGACAATCCCGATCTGTTATCATCGTTCTTGCCTCTTCCGCAAAGTCTGCGAATGTCCTGGGAGAATAAGAGAAATGTCTGGGGTTGCGAATCGCAGCTCCGCAGCATTTTCCTATTTTGATCAAGTACCCAGTTTCACCCCTTCGAACAGGTCGGCGCATCCTCAATTCCTCGAAAGAGTTGTAGGTCACTTATGCTCTTATTTTAGATACAGGTTTGTTCTTGTTTGAACGAGTCGAAATTGAACTCCCACTCCCAGGATTTGAACCCACGACTCTCAACTCGATGTGACTTTTGGACCGATTTTTCCCCCTTTCAGACTCAATCTGGCTACCTCGGGCTCCCCCCCAAGGCATCCAAGTTGAAGATTTAGCCCTAACGGACGCCTAGTCAACGTGGGAAATTTAATCCCCGAATCCCAGCCCTTAAAACGTTTTTTCATACCTAACCTCCACGTAATTGGATTACAAGAGTACACCCGCACGCACGCACGCACACGCACCCACTCTCGTTTACACGCGTGCGAATTAAAAAAAAAATTGTAGGATTATCATTATTATTATTATTTTATATATGTATTAATTAAAGACCCGTTTTTTAATAAATACAAAAATATTATGTTTTCGTTCTTAATCGCTTTATTTATTTTTATTAACTCGATAATATTACTTACTTTTAATTTAATGATAATTTTTTTTTTTTTAACCGCCCGAGTAATTTGTTTTTTTTTTTTTTTTTTTAAATGTTTGTAGTAATAATTTTTATTTTTTAAAAAAATATTTTAACCAATAAAATTAATATCATTTACACGTGTTAAATGAGTAATATTTATTACCCGTACGACACGAATGAGTATCAGGTAAGTTTTTTTTTAAACAAATAATTAACAACCCGTAAAAATTGTCGTCGGTTCAAATCACACACGTCGAGTAATTTTTTTTTATTTTAAATATCAATACAATCGACATATATTTATAACCCTCAAAGTACACGTTAATAATAAATTAATTACGTAATAATATTATCGGTAATTAATAAAAAGTAATTTTTTAACCGTTTAATCCTTTAAACAACGGTTACGTTCTTATTTTTTTTTTTGTTAAAAAAAAAAATTTCCACTTTCAATTAATATATACGGTATAATTAACGAAATAAAAAAATATTAAAAATTATTACCGTGTTAAAAAAAATAATTAATTATTCATAGTAATAACATGACAACGATCGATTTCATATTTTAAAAAAAAGGAAAGGATGTTAAAATTGATTTTAAAACAAAGGTAAGTTTTTTTAAATTTCGTAACAACATTTTCCCTTGACAAATTTGTAATTTTTCTAGAATTATTACAAAAAAAATTATTACGTAATAATTAATCGTCGGTTATTTGGTTATAATCCAAAACACCAACATTTATTTATTTATTTGTACGGAAAATTAATTAAAACCCGCGAGAGGAAAAAAACGAAAGAAAAAAAAATATTTTCTTTAAAAAAGACGTTACCGTAATATATTACCGCGAGTAATAAAAAAAAAGAGGAAAAACAAATAAATAAATTGGATCGGTTTTAAAAACCGACAAAAAAAAATTTTTTCTTTTTTTTTTAATTTGCCGCGCATTAAGTTATTTAAAAAAAAAAAAAGTTGCTAAATTGAGTACTGTGTGTCCAGTAGCAATAAAGTTGACAATATTATTACTCTTT